ATTGATAGGAGGAATGTAACCTTAAAATTAAATATTACAAGAGAAATAAATTTTTAAATATATAAAATTAAGTTGATTCAAACATAGCCTAATTATCTAGACTTAAAAAAAGACTTTAGTCTTAAAAAAGAAAAAGAAAATCCTGCCTCTATTAGTAAAAAACATAGCACATCCCAATTTCCCAACTTCCCTTATTAATAAGGGTAGACATAAAATTTTAATAAGTAAATATTTGTGTTTATTTTGATAATTAATACTATTTATTAAATTTTGCTGTCATTAAGGTCTAAAATGCATTACAACGCAAAAATTAAAAAGGACTAAAAATTTGTTGGTGTATAAATAACTCTTCTATTTATTAGTTGATTTTAATCCTTTTTTAAAAAAAAAATTTAATTTCAAATTTTGATCTTATTTAGAGATTTCAATATTTTCTTCTTAAATTAGAATAGTGATTATCCATTTACTTTTTGTTGTTAATCAACAGTGAAATCTCTCTTTCCTTTGAGAACTGGAGAAGAATCTATTAAAAGTTAATCAATTCTTATAAACTAAAGATAAACAAATTAATGAATATAAATTTAGAGTAAAATCCCTTATTTAGTGGGGTAGGGATCACTGGTTTTCTTTATAATCATGTTACGCAAAAGTGTAACAAGAAGTAAAATAAACTAAAAATAGATCAAATGTAATAATTAATATTGTGATTACTAAGTGTTTAGTGCAAGAGAAAAGAAAAAAAAAAATCAAAACGTCTTAGTATTTTAAATGTAAAGAATCCTTCTAAAATATTTAAATACTTTTAATGAATAATTTTTTATGTATTAATTCATTAAAGACAATTTATTTTTTTTATTACCATTTCTAGCATCTTAATTACCTAAACGTTCTTACTTTTGTCACTTCCTTAGTGTAAAGATTTGAGTTAAGAGCAGGTTTGCAGTATGCTATTTTTTTTTTCCTGTTTACAACTTGGGGGTAGGGTTCAAACCCCAACTTTAGAATTAGGGGATGCATCTTACTATAGAGTATAAAGTCATTGAGCCAGGAGTCCCAAGTGTGTAGTATGCTATTTAAACCATTCAAACAAATAAAAAATAAAAAATTGAAATTTAAGAATAGTAGCATTCACTAGTTGAAGACAAGACGAGAGTTTGTTTTCTGATTTAATTTTTTTTAAAGAAATTAATGACAAGATAAGTATTTCTAGTGAATTTTTTTTTATATATCGAAAAGGGCTAATTGCTTAATATTAAAGAAATTTAAACCTTTAACTTGGATTTCATATTAAATTTTTAAGTTAACAATTTTTTTTTTTAACATGGGGAATTATGGAGGAGGAGGATTTTTTTAAATGATTGATAAAAATCAAACTCTCAACCAACTCAACTTAAACACTAAGATTTGAGAATGAATCACTAAGTCCAAAAAGTTAGTTCTAAGTTAACAGATATTTGTTGGTGGTATCACACTAGTGGAGAGTGTGATTGCTAGTGGAGAGTGTGATTGCTGAATACTATCCTTTAGTTGGATCTGAAAATAATTGAGGACTATTATGCAAATATCAAAAGAAGGAGTGACATGTCAAAGACTCAAAAATAAACCAATAGTGTATAAAAAAATAGGTAAAACCTGTTTTTAGTCCCTCATCTTATTAAGTTTAAAAGTTTTAACCTCTCATCTTATTAAGTTTAAAAGTTTTAACCCCTTATCTTATTAAGTTTAAAAGTTTTAACTCCTCATCTTACTAAATTTATAAATTTTAACTCCTCATTGTATAGTATGGCACTTTTAACCCCTTACATATTAAAATTGAAGAAAGTAGTCCTCACTTAGTAACATTTAAGAAAGTAGTCCTCACTTAGTATCACTTAGTAACATTTTGTTAGTTCTATTAGCTGACTACTAATTTTATTAGCTAAATGTTAATTCTATTAATTGACTGTTAGTTGATTGTTAACTGAGAAAAACTTTCTTTTAGTTAACAGAATTAACAAAATTAATTTTATAATATTTTGTTAATTATATTAATTGGTTATTAGTTGATTATTTGTTATAAAAATTTACTTTTAACTAATAAAATTAATAATTAATATAAAATGAAAGTTATTTTCTTTAATTTTAATAAATGATAGATTAAAATTTATAAATTTAATAAAATAAAAAATAAAAATATTATAATAAAAAATAAAAAATAAAAAACTTTAAATTTGATAAGGTGAGGGTTAAAAAAAGGTGTTTGCCTCAAAAATACCTCAACGATATTTTCCCTCTCCGTATAAATACCCCATCTGTCTGCCCTTTCCTTTATCCCCTCATCTCCTCCCCGTTGCCACAACCTCATACTGCAACCGCCCGCCGGAGTCAGCGGGAAACCGCCGTAAACCGCCTCTCCCCGGTACTGAGAAAACAATTCCGAACTAAGATTTTCTTAATTTACTAAAATGTCCTCCGTTCCCTTTCTCTCCGGCGCACCCGCTCTCTCCATCACGACCACCACCACCTCAGTGCCTAAACTCTCAATCTCAAAACCGCTGTCTGCTTCTCTTTCCCGGTCGAATTCGAATTATTCTACCCGACTTCAAAAGAAGAGTCTCACTATCATCAATGGAGGGTTAACTGTCTTGGCGTGCTCTACTTCGCCGTTTATTGGCAGAGTGGGATTGCAGAGGAGAGAAGGGAACGTGTCGCTGCTTTCGTTCGGTGTGAACTCTGGCGGCGTAACGCAGGCAGCGACGAAGAATGATTCGTCCCAAATTTTATCCGCAATGCTTCCCTTCGTTGTTGCTCTAACTGCCGTCGTTGCTCTTGCTCAGCCACGGACTTTCACTTGGTCAGTTCAATTTAACTTATTCTTTACTCGAATTTCGCCAATATTTTTTTTTGGGTTTTCAGCTTCTGATCATGTATTTTTAAAATATACTATTTTTTCCTTCGGGTGGTATGTTTTTCTAGATTTTATTATCCTATTAAAAGAACCTTTTTTTTTTAATTGTAAATTTTTTAGTCTTCTTTGATCCTAGCCAATTTTTTTATTATATTATTGAAGTTGAAATTCATTTCTTGTAGATTATTAAGTAAATTAATTTCCTTTTTGAAAAATTTTAACTTGAAATATTGGTTCTTACATATATAAAGAAAAGAAATGCTGCTTGGATATTATGTGTGTGTGAAGAAAAAGGGATGTTCATGACAGTTAGAAGCGGTTTGATGTAAGGCTCATGAGAGAGTTTTGTGACTTTTCTTTAGCTTTCTCATGGCAAAAAGATTTGTATTTTGCCAACCTTTATTGCAGGAGAAATTTTCATCTTTTTCATATAATTTATCATATAGAGATGAATTGTCTGTAGGGTGTCCAAGGAATTGTATGCTCCTGCTCTTGGTGGGATCATGTTGTCTATTGGGATTAGACTTTCCATTGATGATTTTGCCCTTGCATTCAAGAGGTAAATATTTCATTTCCTAGTGTTATATGTAGTTTCTTCTGAGTCATTTCATTTCCTAATTTTATCGTGATGTTTAGAATATGCTCCCAAGTTCTTTGATTTTTACATGTTGCAGACCTGTACCACTAGCTATTGGGTTCATCGCGCAGTATGGCCTCAAACCGGCACTTGGGGTCTTGGTTGCAAATGCATTTCGCATGTCTCGTGTATTCTATGCTGGTTTTGTCCTCACAGCTTGTGTTGCAGGGGCTCAACTATCTAGTTATGCCAGTTTTTTGAGCAAAGGAGATGTAGCCTTGAGTATTCTCCTCACCAGCTCTGCCACGATTGCTTCTGTGCTTGTAACCCCTCTTCTAACTGGCCTTCTTATCGGTTCTGTTGTTCCGGTGGATGCTGGTGCAATGTCAAAATCAATTTTGCAGGTATGAGAATTTCAGAGAGAATTGATATATGTCAAACTGAATTCATTCTTTCATTTCTGTTGCTTGCTCAAATTTAAAATGATTTGCTTGGTTTTTCTTGCCAGGTTGTTCTTGTTCCAGTCACTCTTGGGCTCATGCTGAATACTTATGCAAAACCAGTTGTTGCTTTTCTTCAACCTGTGATGCCAATTGTTGCTATGATATGTACAGCTTTGTGTATCGGTAGCCCTCTTGCAATAAACAGGACGCAAATTCTATCCCAAGAAGGTCTTCAGCTGATTCTTCCTATATTGGCATTTCATACAGTGGCATTCTTTGCTGGATACTGGGTCTCCAAAATTCCTGCTTTCAGGTAATTTCATGCTTCTGTATTACTTCCAATGGGATTCTTGATATTTAATGCTGTAATATTGTTGTTCGCATATTCGCTTGGACATTAACTGAGGTCTATCAAAAAGAGTACCGGACTTACAGAATTTACAGAATATGGGCCTTAGTCTTTGCCAGATCAAAACTTCTGGTAAACCTTTTTGATTCATTAATATCACCTTAGAGCTTAAATGAGTTGCTTGATGCTCTAGTATAGCTTACTGTTTTCTTTTCCCTTATGATTAGGAGAAATAGAATCACAATTAATATTATTATTATTATTTTTTGATGTACTAGAGCAAGTGGTTCCAGCTTGTGAGGGAAGGGGGATGGGGAGGGGTAGCACAGGTTCTAACCCTTGCCATGAGGGTATGGAAAGCCTTTTATACCAGTGACAAAGCCACTTCAATTACCAAGGCTCCACAGAATCACAATTATTAAAACCGCAGAGACAATGCAAATTGCAAACGGCAATAAATCCTTTTCGGCTCAATTTAATAAACAGTCAGTAACTTTTGTATTTTTTTCTGTTTCATCTACTATCTTTAGATACTTTCAGATTCATCTACTATCTTTTACTTTTATTTCAGTTTAGTCTAGTTTGTTAATTTTCTAACAGCAGTTTCACTTTATTTGGTCAAATTGATTTTCAACTATATCTTTTGTAAATTTTTACTCTTGAAATTAATTTTGAGATAAAACTAATTTTATGAGGATGACAAATTTCTATTCATTGTCTAAAAAACTGTAACCTTTATCACATGCTGTTTTAGTTTTCCCTTTTAACAATTCTCCTTTGTAGCATAAACCACAATTATTGACATGTTTTAATAGTTTGCATAGTCTGTCATGGACTGCCTTATTGGCTATGACTATTCTGTTTTAATTTTGACTTAACTTTTCTATTATTTTTCTATTAAAACTAATGAAAATTTTGTACGGTAGACTATTTTGAAATATTTTACAAAGTTTATAGACTATTTAGAAAGAAAACTAACTTTCTAGACTAAAATGAAATTAGGTTAATAGTTAATAGACCAATAATTGAATTAAGCCAATCCTTTTCTTACATATATGCATATTCTCCTCAGTCCTCATCAAGATGACTTCTAGTTGTTTAGTTCTCTGGAACACACAATTTTTCTGAACTTGTTTCCCTTTGCCTTCCCCCGGAAATCCCCTCTCTCCTTAGCTGCTTTCCATACCACCTATCAGCTTTGTTGAATCTTGCATTCAATTAAAAGTATTCAACTTCTAGCCTATTGTTGCTGGGGGAGGGTGAGCCATTGAGTGATGATTAATCATGGTCTTGTAATTTAGATCAGCTAAAAAGAATATAAAACATGTCTGCCCTTAAAACCCCAATCCATGGTGTTGTGGCTAAACATTACTGTTTTAGAACTTATGCATCTTGATGAGTGAAATACTTTCTCCCCAGATGGACCAAAAGAAAAATATTTTTCTCAGCAAGAATTGAGGAATTAATTTGAATTATTTCTTGCATGTGAAAAAAGGAAAAACTTTATACGGTAGAGAGAAGATACTGAGTCATTACAATTTTGGCCATCTGTTTGAAGGTCTGCAATTACAAACAATTTGATGATTTGGTAGATTATAACTCCCTTGAGAGTTGAATTTTATTCTATTGTTATCTGCTTCCTGCACTAACTAGTGGTCTTTTAGATGTCTTTTTGAAAGGAAAAAGACCAACAATAAGTATGGTAAGGAGTTTGCCTTTCAACATTTGATATTTGTAGTAACTCGCCATTCTAGTTCCTCTTGTCAAGCCTTCATGTACAGATTAGAATTTATTTGCATAGGAATTTAATTGCTTTTGCCACAACTGATTTGTACCTCAAACTCTAATAATATTTGGTTAATATATCCCAGGCAAGGGGAAGAAGTTAGCCGAACAATTTCATTATGCACTGGAATGCAGAGCTCGACCCTGGCAGGGCTACTTGCAACCCAGTTCCTTGGCAGTAGTCAAGCAGTTCCACCAGCTTGTTCAGTTGTTGCCATGGCTATCATGGGCCTTTGTCTTGCCTCTTTCTGGGGCAATGGCTTCCGAATCAGGGACCTACCTTCCCTACTCATCCCGAAATCAGGTTCTCCTGTGAAGGCTTGATGAAGCAACACCTAGAGAACTTTTTCCAAGGTATAGATCAGGCTAATTTAATCCATAGATTAGAAAGGATCCTCCAAACAAATGGGAAAACAGTTGTTGTCACAGTCATAAACTAATATGGTGTACAGAGAAAATAGAAGCAAAATGTAAAAATGGCGGGAAAATAGCCATGTCTAAAGAGCTGTAGAGATCCCTTTGTCCTGTAGTTTTCAGTGTCTACGGTATGTAGTAGTGTATAGCTGGATACATAAGTTACAAAATAAAGTATGGCTGAAGTTAATCTTACGCACACTCTGGCTGACAAAAAGGTAAAAAATCATACCTATATATGCTCCCTGATCTCCCATCTAACCCAAAAATCTTTGAGAAATCTGCCCAAGAAGCTCTCAATCTCAAGTAGGGCAATGCAGCATTTAAAAAAGGATGTGAGAGCTTTGACTTAAAACATGGTTTGTGTCATGAGATTTGGATGGGATAGTTATAGCTGGACGTGTAACCAACAAAATAACATAAAAAGTAGTTGCATATTGCAAGTTTGCGGACCAATTTGTTTCAGGTGTTAGGGATCAACTGATGGCTATAGCCTCTCAACATAAAAATTTATTAGTTGATGGTAACAGATGTCGTCAGTTGTTGGGTCCAAGTTCAACAGTTGGGTTTTCTAGTTTCAACAGCTACATGCAGTTGAAAAATGAGTCTCCACTACCGGTGTTTCATAGCAAATTTTGTCATCTGCTGGGAACATTTGACAATTGCTGGGTCCAACGGCTGGGTGGGTTTTTAACTTTCAACAGCTACATGGAACTGAAAAGTTTGAGAACCATTTTTTGATAAGAAGAATCAACAATCAATGGACCGAACAACTTCTGCAAATCAATTGTTCAAACTTGCCATCAAGAGCTTGTCCGAGGTAGTTTTTAGTATTCACTCATTATAAAATTTCGATGACTTTAGATTGATATATAATTTCATAGATTCAAATTTGGTAAGTATGGTGTTTAGTAAGGAAGTTTGCTCTCACCTTCTTTACTAGAGTCGAAGTTGGTTGAATGAAGATATGATGTACGGGCTGAGGTACCCTTATTTATATGAAAGAAAAAACTTAAAATTGAGAATTTTTTAAGTTGGTTGAACGAAGATATGATGTATAGGGCTGAGGAACCCCTTGTATCTCCTTAATAAAACTATATTTTTTGTTGATTGAAAAAAAAGAAAAAAAGAAAAAAAAACTTTCTTTACCAAAGTTAAATTCTTATGAGAAACTGTGATGAGGTAATTAACTTTTGGATAAATAAGTTAACCAATCTCAATTATAAAAAAAAAAAAAAAAAGAGTTCACTAACCACCGTTGGGATTTTATATTAGAATTAGCATTTTAAAAAATTTAATTTTCTTAAATATATTAAATTGATGTGAGAATTGTATTTTTAAGATAGGTGAACAAAAGATTAGCCTTAAGATTTGCGTTATAAACTAGTTTATAGACATTATGTGCCTTCAAACCAATGAGTAAATAAATAAATAAAATAAAATAAACATAGTTATCTTTATTAACTTTTTAATTTACACACAAATGCTTTATTTTTTAGTCAATGAAACTTCTTGCCCCTAAAAAATGTTTCTCGCTCCGCCACTAGATTGCTATAATTGACCAAACTAAAGAGGCAGGCTTCAATTTGCTTTGCTGTTGCTATAACATCTTAAACCGACTGATTTATCGGTTCACTGGTTCATTCTAATTTGATTGGATCATACCGGTTCAACCACCTTAGCAATTCAATACTCTTGACTGCATCGTTCTTAGGACGGGCCACCAGTCCAACCAGACCAACCAGCTGGTCTGGTTCAATTTCAAAACACCCGAGATTTGAATTTTTTCCTAGGCTTAAAGAGTAATAATTAGATAAAATTATAAAAATTACCAGGTTAAAATCAAATTATCACTACCCTGTGGTATCTCATGATATAAAATCATTTATGTTCTACTAACGATTTAAGTAATTTAATGGTAATTTTCTTTTGATAAAAATAAAAGATCTTAAAGTTCAATAACGTATTGGTGTTGTAAATTAAAAGATATGAAAACTTTTTTTTTATTGTACAACTTAAGATAAAAAAAAAAAAAATCATCATCCATATTTTAAGCTAAGGAGAGCTAAATTTTTTTTTTAAAAGCAAATAAGATATTATTTTTTAAAGTGTAAGGGATATTCTGTATATATACAAGACAATGATTTAAGACAATGCAAATTAGGATCAATATCATCATCTCACCCTGACCATCATCCAGCTACTAGTTACCCCTAGGAAATCTTAATTGTCATCTATTTAAAAATGTTTGGTAAGTTGCAAATGTAGTTGTAATTAACTACAACCAAGAATTCTAGTTTTGACTAAAAAAACAAGTCTAATAAACCCTTTGAGCATTGAAATTCCTCACAATTAAGGTTTATCACGATTCTCGAAACCAAAATTTTCTTAATTTTTTTCATCTTTTTGCTTTCTTCTTGACTTCTTTAGTTAGGCTAAACTCCTCAAATCATGTTCTGATAAGTGTCAGAATGACTTTCCTCCCCCCAATTTTTTAAAGTTGGGGTTGCCTAATTTCAAGAATAAATCCTTGTAGATTTGAAAATTTTGCATTAAGGATCATTTTACTTTATGGCTTACAGTGTCAGCAGCACCTTATCTGGTTGTCGACATCGTCTTTCCAACAATTCAAGAGATAAGTTGAAAATTAAGAGCGAAAAGACATAATTTACCAACCCACTTCTGAAAATTTCCTTAGCTGGAAAACTCTTATTCATTGATGATATGCATGGTATCAACAGATACATACCGAAGACTTTTATCATTATTATAGTGTATTTTATTAGCTTATTCCAATAACTCATTTAATTAGATGCTTTTGAAATTAAAATTTGTCGGTCTCACCTTTTTTGTCTGTCTTTTGAATTCTTGCATGGGGCATCTTATCAATTCCTAACTTAGAAAGTGAAGAATTTTTTATTTTTTTTTAATCTTGAGTTTTATAATGAAAGGTAAATTTTTTTTTATTTCTTAATTCATCTTAATTACATGTTATATAATTTCAATTTAAAATTTCTTATTTACACTAATAATAAATTACTACTGAACTATTTTAATCATTGGTTAAAAAGTGAAGAATTAATCATAAAAAAGTTGCAAGTTCACATGATAACAGCTGCCAAGTCATAAAAGACAAATGTTCATATTTTTCTCACAACTCGTTGTAATTGTGTTACTGCACAACGTAAAGAAATTGTAGTGTGATGATCTTTTATTAGTATCATGCTCTTATGTAAATAGGACTTTATTAGACTTTCCAAACTCATCGTTATTGTGTTCTAAAGCCAACCGGCCGGTTCCTTTCTATGGTTTCGGTATTTTTTAACAGGGGTGATTTGGGCTATTTCTTGGAATTGTTTAGCCATTCCATGTTTTGCTCTGTTTTGTATCGACCAGTGGGGATTGAGTTATGTTTATGAGAATTTTGTTTTGTTTTTCTTTGATACTCTGTGTTTGATTTTTTTTTCTTTTTCTAGTTTTTGGTATTTATGATTAGAGAATTTATAGAATTTTTTATACATTTCAAAACTAATTTCTCTTGAGTGATTTTGAAGATATATCCTTTATATCAACTCGATACATTTAAAGAAATTAAATTTTTTTTTACTGACGTTCAAGAATTTAACTTTAGATTTGACTTACTGCACCTTAAGTAGACTTATTTCTTTAACATGATGATGATATGTATTTTAATTTCTAAAGACTTCATGTATTCAATCAATGAATTCCTTTTTCTTATTTTTTTTTTTTTTTTAAACCAGAAGTAAAGACCCGAGACCAATATATAGTACAACCCTAACGCACAAGCAAGGTCTTGGATCATATGTGATGTTGGAATCTTCACCCAAGTCTTGCCCAAAATCCCTAATGCACCCTAATTAACTACCACCACCACTTGAATCATAGCACCAACAAAGACCAGAGACAAATAACTCAAACCTAACGCACAAACCACCCAATAGGAACCACATGATACCTCCCGAAAGCCTCACTTGCTCTCAACACCAAAGAACCCAAGGGACTACCAGTAACCAACTCTCAACCGATGGAAGAGGTGGTAGTCGTGGTGAAGATAACGTGTGAGCTGTTAGGAAAAGATTGACGACATATATTCTTCTTATTTGATTAACTCCCTCGGTCCCACAATATTTGTCCGTTTTTACTAAATTTTTTATCACAAATCGTCCTTACATTTTATATGTGCATAAATTTTTCTTTTACATTTTAACAATATTGTAGTTAAACACAAAGTCTAATATTTTACATTGCAATTACTAATAAATTATTCGTAACTCTGAATAATGAAATTTCATATTTCCATGGAAAAAAATTTCTTCTCAATTTTTAACTACAACAAGCTAGCATTTCCTTATCTTGATTTTTTAGCAAGTGCTTTCCTTGTATAACCAGTATTCAAAACGATTCTTTATGACTAATTAGGGAGTAGTGACTCCCCTCTTTGTCATCCATGAAAAGATACTATACTTTTGGATTTTTTTTTTCTACAATGACAAAGCTACATAACTCCAAAACTATTGAAGGATTTGGACATTTTTAGAGAGGTCGGTTGGGGGATTGATCCTATAACAATCACGGGAAAGGTTTTAAGTAGAAAATGAACACGCCATACAAAATGAGAAAGCAACATATATAGAATAAAGCTAGAAAGTTGAAAGTATAGTTCATGGCGATGCTTAATCGATCTCTTCGATAAGATACCGATCAAATGGCCAAAGCAAAAATGACATAGGAATCATGACAAGATGAAAATGGACTTAATCTTGCTTTCCTAAATTAAAAAATTGTTAAACATTATTTGGGAAAAAAAAATTGAATAGAATCAATTATGCAAGAGCATATAGGTTTATCTTTTTTTGATGTTATCCCAAGGGATGCTTGTGCTTGTTTGCATTTCAGTTAATTTGTTTTTATTTGTGCTAACTGCATGTTGTGTACAAGTTGGATCGAATATTGTACTATCATATATAGAGTAGGATTTTCCTTACGAGAATTTTCTTAGTTAACTACAGAGAGTTAATAAAATTCCAAATGAAAATATAAAAGGGAAATTTTTTTCAGTTCTCCTTCAAGAGTAATTTTTCTTGAATTGTTAAAGAAAAATAACATGTTCAAAAAAAAAAAAAAAAGGAAAAAAAAATATAAACCATTTTTATGTAGCAAAAAAATTTTTTTTGACCATTTTTGTTGAAAATATGTAGGATTAATCATAATTAGAAGAAGCATGTTGGTAAAGGAAATCATTAGGTCAAAGCAATTGGGTGACAACCCTAAACTGCTTTCAAAGAAATCTAAGTAGAAACAATCTCTGGAACATGGTTTTCATGAAAAAGAAGGAGCATAATCATCAATTACTTGGACCCATATGCCTCTGTTAGCATATATTCTTTTCATTGTTCATGACTTAATTCATCTTTAAATCATTGGAAGAAGAACACATTATCAAGCCCTGTGAAGGAAGCATCAACGGGTAATTTAATTAAGAGTTTAAAACTCTAATAGTATATATGTTTGAATTAAGAGGAATGGAAGAGAGGGGAGGGAGAAGGAAAAATTCTCTTTATTTTATTTTTGCTTTTAATATAGTTGTTTATCCAAATAAACGGAGCAAAAGGGGAATAGAATCTATTCTTCTCCCCCCATTTCCCTCAATCCAAATATAAGCTAAGTTAAAAATCTCAAATTTAGATTTTGAATAAAAAAGCATTTAACAAACATGGGTTATCTCTTATTATATATCTTATTTATTAGATGTAACACAGAACACCAAGTTAATCTTTAAGTAATTAATCTTTGATTTGTTATAATTGGACCATGATTGGTGCACACCCAGATTCAACACTTTGGTGTGCACCCTCCACATAAAAAAAAAAAAATGAACCGAGTGTTCTCCATTTTTTTTTTATGCGGAGTGTGCACACCCAGGTGTTGAATCCGGGTATGCACACACCATTTTCCGTTATAATTATGTTTCCAAATGTCGAAAAAAACACCAGGTTAGAAATTTCTCAATTCAGTTATGCATTAGCAATTAATATTTTTAGAGGAAGATTGAGAACATGAAGAAGTCAACGGGAAAAAGAAAACAAAATTTCAAAAATAAAAGTACCACAAGTAATACTAGCTAGGCACACGTTACTTCGTAAAAAAGAGATTCCAAATTCATACAAGAAAGGGGGACTAAAGTTATATCATGAAGTATTTGATTGAAAAGCAAGTAATTTTAATTAAGCAAAACACACAAGGCATTATAAGATACAAACCAGCTGTCTTCAAGCAAATTAAAGCTATAAAAATCTCATATTTATATATATTCCCTTCTCTCATAGGGCTTGTTTGGTGTGAGGTGACCTTAATTATAAAACCCACTTTTTTTTCTTCTGAACTTACATATCCTCCTTATATTTTACAAAATATTTTCTTGGATTTTTCTTTATTAATCTTTTTTTTTAATTAATCCAAATTATTCAAGTAGAGTAAAAATCGACAATTTTTCTCATCACCTGAACCTGGGTGGCCAAACACATGACATAGTGTGCCGTCTCATCCAACATGCTGCATAAATCCATGGCTCCGACTCCGGGCACGAGCTTCCTCAGCTCGTTCTCTTGCTCATAACTGATCTCATCTTCTTCCTTCGCCACCATCTTTTTCATGCCATGAATACCGTTGCTTCTCCTTAGCGAATCGGCCAAACGCTTACGCTTCTGGTTCTTGATCCTCCGTAGCACTGCTCTACTCCATGCTCTTCTTGATCCAATCACACACGCCATGGCTTTATCAGCTGCAATCCTAATTCTCCTGTACCGGAGAAAGATTTCTCTAGAAGAAGAAGAACTGGGTTTCTGACGGTTTATCTTTATGAGAGCACGGAGGAACCTTCTTGTAAACCTGGATTTTACGGAAGAAGAACTAGGGTTCTTCATGGTGGATTAAAACGGATGGAAAGTTGGGAAGGTAACTAGGGTTTTGGGGAGTTTTGAATATGCAAAACTGTTAAGGGGTTTGCTCTTTTTGGGATGGATAGAAGTACAAAGAAGAGATATGAGGTTATGACAAAAGAGGGGTCGGCTTGCCCAGAAATCACAAGGACAAAAGGAGAATTTAGTTCTGACTTCTCTGACACAGTATCTATATAGACCAACCAGAGAATGAGAGAGAAAATGGTGAACAAAAACATGTGAAGAAAGTGAAGAAAAGGAGAGAAAAGAAGGGAGAGAAAGGATTGGGAAAAGAAGGGAGAGAAAAGATTGGGAATGGGAGGTGTAAAGAGGAAGAAGACTTGGGAATCAAACTTCCATATATAGAGAGATAATAATCAGTTTTTTTTTCATTTATTAGATTTTCGTATCGTAACAGTAACTCTTTTTTAAAAAAAAAAATTCAGCAACGGTTTAAATTTTTATTATTAGGAGCTCTAAGGTGATATAACCGGATATGATTAAATCATAGCTCAAACCAACAACATGAGAGTAACATGCACGGTATAATAAATCACATAAACTTTGTTTATTTTGATTGTTAAGAATAACCGATAGGTATGTTGTTAGTCAAATAGTTGTTAGAACGATTAATGTTTGCTATTCAATTGTTTATAATTAGTTTATAAAAATATCTTAACAATTCAAAGAAAAAAATTATAAGTTATAATTTATCATTCAAATCAAATACAACTATATGTGCATGTTAATCAGGCTAGCGACATACAACATTTTATTATGGTAATTGTCAAAATTATTATCAGATTATGTGCTTGTGCCAGTAAATGAATGATTTTATTTAAATTTTTGTAGATTTTTTTTTTCACTTTTTCAGTAGCCATAAGTTTTTTAATTTCTTTGGCCGGCAAATGAATGATTTTATTTAAATTTTGTGTAGGGTACAAGGAGAACATGTAGCAGTCCTCAGAGATTAAATATATAAGAGAAGAAACCCCTAATTACCTACTCACACGGGTTCAGAACCCAAACGATGGAATCAAAAAGCGAAGAAGTCATATCTAAAGTAGACAACCAACTGAGGGAAGAGGTGAGTAATGTGGGCCTGAAATAACCAACTACCATATGAACGCACATGCTTCCATTTTCCCACTTGAAATTGTGGGGCCTTTCCTCACATTTCGTTCTGTTGCCGATCTTTAATTCCTTTGTCAATTAACTTGACATATTCATCATCATGTATATGCTGCCTTGTCATTATTTCTCTCTGAATTTCGGTCATGTTGGTTTTAGCGGTTAGAGAATAATTGATACTATTTTGTTTTGAAATATGGGTCCTTTAATTTTATATTTGTAAATCTTTAAAAAAAGGTTTTTTTTTTTTTATGACATGTTGACTATAATTTAAATTTTTTTTTCATTCTTGTAAGTAATTCTTGTTGCGTAATTTTTTTTTATTACAAAATTTTGTAATTATCATTTATATATTCTAAAAAAATATTTTCTACAGATATATGTAAAAAAATTGAACAACTTATATTTTTAAATAAAAAAATGATTTTTGTATAATTAATGTCTAATGATTGATAATTATTATTAATTATAATTCAAACTCCCTCATTTTTGTTGGATTAGAGAAAGTAGTAATTAATTAGCGTATAAGTGGCTAACAGCTAAACCGAACAAACAATTGAATTAGCCCTAGTGCGGCTGATGCCACGTTGGTCTGTGGCGGAACCCAAGCCAATAACAGCCTGTTCAACGGTGGCGATTGTTATTTGGATACCGAGACAGGATTTCTCTTCCTCTAGCATTTGTTTGATATTGGACGCATACGAATTTTAGCAAAGAGAACACATGGGAATGATCAATTCTAGCTGAAATATTTGGTTGAGGACCACACTCAAGTGGCATGCGTGAGGAAAGCGATATCATGTAAGCTTTATTGAATATTTCGAACTGATTGTAACCTTTTAAGTTTTTTCTTTGAGGATTTTTGAATCTGTAACAATATATTGCACATGCTTATCGAGTAGATAAGAGAATTTGAATCTGGGACCTCCTAAACTTTTGTTATTATTATCGTTAATTAATGGAGAGATCGATATATAGAAGTGGACCAGGAGCTATCCTATATATGTAACTAAAGGAAGAGGAGAAGAGGGCCAATTGCAGGTGACTTTGTGGCTAGGGCATGCAGAAAAGGAGTATACCGCTGGCTTCTTCTGTCTTCTGTCTACTAGGGTTTCGTTTGCTCCAAACAAAGTCTGGCTTATAGTATTTGGACTGCTCTAGCTTTTAGACTTTTGCCTCAATAAATGAAGAAATGGCCGGGGGTGATGATTTCTAGGTTCCTTATTTAAAACAAATACAAAATAAATGATATGGCTTAGACTTCTATCATTTAGGCTTGTTTGACATAATGGTTAAAATTTAGTAGAAAATGAGTAGCAGATAATAGATAGTAAATTTAGTTAATATAATTGCTTAATAATATAATAATTAGCAGTAGTTGTTTAAAATTAAATAACTGATATGGATATATTTAAAAATAATTAAATATATTTTTTATTTTTTATTTTTATTATTAAAATGATTAATTTTATAAAAAAATAATAA